CACCATGCCCGGTTTCGGTGGCCAGCATGGCATGTGGTACCAAGGATTGAACCTGGGTCCCTGTGCTTACTGTTTCAAAAAGATGGGAGAGAGAGAGAGAGAGAGAGAGAGAGAGAGACAGACAGACAGACAGACAGACAGACAGACAGACAGACAGACACAGAGACAGAGACAGAGACAGAGAGAAAGAATCAATAGAGTTGAGATTTTGCTCATGTTCTATGTTTTATAATTATTAACTCTTCATTCTTGGAACCAACCTCAATGATTATCAGTCCCCTTCATCACTTTATTTATTTATTTATTTATTTATTTACATTGTTTTTGTATTTTAGGACAGAGTCTACAGGGTCTATAGGGTCTCACTACATAGATCAGACTCATAGTGATCCTCCTGTTTACAGCCTCCCAAACACTGGGGTTACAGGCATGTGCCACCACACCCAGTCTCATTCAACTTCTCGGTGCATCCTGGGGGCAGGGCCAGCATGGCATACCGGGGATTGAACCCCAGTTGCTGTGTCTGCTTAAGCAGGTGCTTTAATCTGCTGAGATATTTGGCCGGCCCTCATCACTTTATATTTTACTTATTTTTTTTGTTTTGTTTGTTTTTTGAGACAGGGTCTCACTTTGCAATTTAGGATGGTCTTGAACTCACTATTGTAGCCATGGGGCCTGCCCCTTAGCTCATTCTTTAAGTGGCTGCTTCAACAAAGCAGTCAGGCTCAGGTTGCTGGGGTTTGATCCCCACAACTCAAGCCAGCCAAACCTGCCCTGAAGGCATTCGGAGCAAAATAACCAAAAAAAAAAAACAAAACAAAAAAACCCCACTTCTGTCATTTTGTGCTCACTTTGGCAGCACATACACTATTGTAGCCAGGTTGGCCTTGAACTCACAGCAACCCTGCTTGCTTCAGCCTTAATCTGTATTAGGTATCAAACTTTTTGCTTTTGTTTTGCTTTCTGTGCCAGGTGTCACTATATAATCCAGGGTGGCCTCAGAGTTTCATTCTTGCCTCAGCCTCAGGAATGCCAGGATTACAGGCATGCACCACTGCGCTGGGCTGTAATATTCTTTCTTATATGTATTAAAACTCATACTGAACAATGAATTTGGGGTTGCAAAAGAAGATTTATTTCTTACACTTTTTCATAAATTAGCCTACAGTCAGACAAAATAAGAAGGGAATTCTCTTTGCCTGTTTATTCAGTGGAGGGAAGAGCCTAAAGAATTCAGGGCCAACATATACTCGTAAGTGAAATAAACCAGACACACATGTGTAAATATCATATAGTCTCCCTAGTATAAGAACTCCAAAGAAGAAATACAAATAGAAATATATAATACAAGTAAAAGAAAAGCAGGATCTCAAGGACTAACTAATCAAGAGAGGGAAAGGAGAAGATCTAGGAAACATGACAATGTCAAGCCATACAGTTATATGTAGAAGATGGGCAAGGCAATGATCCTGAGAATCTCCAGAAGATTTTTGAATCTAGCAGTTAATTGGAAAGACTCTCACCC